ATTTAGATCTGCTGGTCCCCTGAAGAAAACAGCTTTTCTTTTTCTTCTGAGCCCCAAATTGACCTCATTTAGCTTTTAGGAAAAAAATCTGAAAAGTCACTGGCTTGGCTGATATTCCCCTGACTCCTACAATAGGGAATGACTCCACACTCTCCCCGACCCGGGGCGTTCTCACCATCACTCACCTTTCCTGCGCCGAGTTACCTTCCTCCATGAGCTCACCCCCAATTCCCTTTTCTTCCCTTCGAATATGACCTAGAAAGCGGACATTTCTGCACACCAGGCACCCACCTCAAGGCTCAGTCTCTTTTTTCAAATTGTGATAAAATATACATAACAATATTTACCATGTCAGTCATTTTTCCGTGTACGGTCAGTAGCATTAAGGACATTCACAACGTTGCACCGCCATCGCCACCACCCAGCTCCACAACATTTTCATCATCCCAAACAGAAGCTCTGTCCACAATAAACACTCTCTCTCCATTCCCCCTGCCGCAGCCCCTGGCAACCACCATTCTACTTTTTGTCTCTATGAATTTGACCACTCTAAGGATCTGATATAAGTGGAATTGTACAATATCTGTTGTTTCATGTCTGGGTTATTTTACTTAGCATAATGTCTTCAAGTTTCATCCATGCTACAGTATGTGTCAGAATTTCCTTCCTTTTGAAATCTGAATAATATTCCATGGTATGGATATACCCCATTTTGCTTATTCATTCATTGATTGATAGGTACTTGGGTTGCTTCCACCCTTTGGCTATTGTGAACACTGGACTATAAATATAGTATGTAATTATCTCTTCAAGACCTTGTTTTCAATTACTTTAGGGGTCAGTCCGACTGCTTCTTGCTCTTGCCAGAAGTCTCCTCTGGTGAAATCACTTTTCTATTTTGTCCTCCCCCAAAAGCTCATCCAGCCTCTCCAGACCTTCCCTGAGAAAGCCTGTGACCATGCTCACATCTCCACTCCGTCCCATTTGTCATGTCTCCCCTGTCCCAGAGCAGTGCTTTTGGAAATCTTTATCATTTGGCCAAGTGATTAATCACCAGCATCCAGAGTTGTTGGAGGCAGAAAGAATCAGAAAATTAATGAAAACGTCATCCTAAGGAGATCCAAGCATCCAAACAAGAGAAGCCACATCTGTCTGCAAGCTTAAGCTGCAATTTCATCATTGGAAGTGGGAGACAGAGCCAGAGAGCAGTAGCCTGAGAGATGCAGGGGTGGACGTGGACCCAACTATACAATGGAATACCACTCAGCCTTAGAAAGAAGGAAATCCTGCTGTTCGTGACAACCTGGACAAATCTGGGAACCTGAGGACATTATCCTAAGTGAAATAAGCCAGGCACAGAAAGACAAATATTAAAAACACATGATACCACTTACAGGAGGAATCTAAAATAGTCAAACTCATAGAAGCAGCGAGTGGAATGGTTGTAGCCAGGGCCTGGAGAAGGGGAACATGGGGAGATATTTGTCAAAGGGTACACAGTTCCAGGTACAGAAGATGAATAAGTCCCAAAGATCTGCCACAAAACATGGTGCTTACAGTTAACAGTACTGTATTGTACACTTACAAGTGTGACAAGATGGTAGGTCTTATGTTAAGTGTTCTTGAAAGAAAGAGAGAAAGGAAGAAAGGAAGGAAGGAAGGGAGGAAGGGAGGAAGGAAGGAAGAAGAGAAAGAAAAGAGAAGAGAAGGGAAGGGGAGGAGAAGGAAGGGAAGGCAAGAGAGAGAGGGAGAGGGAGATGAAGGGAGAAAGAAAGAGAAAGGAAAACTGCCTCTTACCTGCTTACAACACACCTACATTTTACTTATAGTTCTGTTTCTTCATTCCCTTCTAGGAAGAATAGAATGCAAAATCTCACATCTTTTCTTAAGGAAGAGTGGGAAGAAAAAATTATTCATCACCAAAACAATTAAATGAGATTCTTTCAGCCAACATCCTGCTGGTTTGCTCCCAAAACGTGTCTCTGTCCCTTCTATGTAGTTGTATGCCCTCCCCGCCAAAAAAATATTTTGGTTCTTTTTCTTTCAGTAAACTATTTGGCATTTTGAAAAAAATAAAACATACGGTCAATTTTTATAGTTTACTTGAATTACAGAAGAAATGCATTTTCAATGCAGAGAAATTAAAAACAGAGAAAACCACAACACACATAATTTCACATAAACTTCAAAAATTTGGTACATAGACCAAATTGTGTATGCTTTTTTAAAAAATTCTAAACTGAATATTGTTACATTGTATATCTTGTTTCATACACAGCTTTGGGTTCATGGCAGCATATGACCTACCTTACTCCACATCACTGTGTATTCCTATAAAATAGAATTTTCTGCTATGTTTCATTTTTTTTTTTAATGTTTCGTATTTTTTTTTTTTATTTCAGCAAATTATGGGTGTACATATGTTTAGGTTACGTGTGTTGCCCTTGGTTCCCCCCTCACCGAAGTCCGTGTTTCAAATATGTTATGTTTCATTTTTTTCCCCTATGGCTAGAGCTTTCATCTCAGCTAAACCTCTAGTCCACAACAAACAGCTCCAGGGACGCCAAGAGCTACCTGGCCATGCTGAGGCCGCATTGCCTCCCACCTGCACAGTCCCTGCTGAGCTGAGAACACAGATGCCCCAGGAGTCAGGAGTGGATGTCCCAGCTCCAGGGGCCCCAGCCCCTCAGCTGCATCTGTTAGCAGCGGAGGCTCACCAGGGTCCTGGATGGAGGTCCCTCTGTGTGTACCTTTTTCCCGTCTCCCCTCACCTCTCACAACGCCACGCAGCCCTCTCCCCTCTTGCTCCTACCATGTCAGTGTCTCCTCGGAGACTAGATCATTCTCACAGGCACACAGTTATGCCACCATCTTAAATAATAATAACCCTAATAATAATCATCATCATCAGACCCTAAAGCCCACTTCCGCTGCTCCACTGTATTCAAACTTCACTCAGTCCTGCTTCGAAAGCCCCAGAGTTGGAACAGAACTCTTTTTTGATCTCTCTCTCTCTCCTCTCCACCTCATCCCTTTTTCTCTTTTCTGAACTTTGCTCTCCCTGGACCAGGGCCTCCCTCTCTGCTCTGGCCCTACTCATCACGTTTCTCTGCCTGCAGTCTGGATGGAAGAATTCGCTCACATAGGGCTTTGGTCTATTGATTAGAATTCCACAGTAGGATGTGGGGGGACAGCCCCAACTGAATATCAATAGTTTCTTTGCTTTATATATGAAAATATTGTTCTGAGATCCTCCTGCCTCAGGTCCTGATGGTTGAGGGGGAATCAGATTATTCTGTGTCCTTGGACACATTTTATCTTCCTCTCAACATTGCGAAGGGTAGCACGTTTTTGTTCATTTTTGTCCTTGTAGGATTCTTTTCCTTGTCCTTGGAGTTCAAGACATCCAGCATTTTACATCTAGATAAAGGTTTCTTCTTATTTCGTGTGTTGTGCAGCAAGTGCTAACTCTGAAAATCCAGGCTTTTCTTCTCCTTGGCAAATGGTGGTTCCATTTTGCCTTTTGCTCCTCTCAGCGGCAGCAACTGTCTGTACGGTCCATGGCTGTCCATCACCTGCAGGCCAGATGTTGCCGCCGGCTCACCTCCATCCTGGGGACTTCCTTTGTCATGGTCCTCCACGTCTTGGATGCTCTGCTGATGTCAGGTTCTGCCTGTTTTGCTCATGACCTCTGTGTCACACATCTTAAATTGACATCACTCGTGTGTTTTATAACATTCCTTTCTTGTTGCTTAGCTTCTCTTCAATAGCCAACTGCCTCTCATCCAGTTTCCTTCAAACCTTGACCTTCTCAACTCACTTGTTTATATCTTGTTTCTTAGAATCCACTTTGTCTTAAATTTTATTCAAAGTGCCAAGACGATGCAATCTAAATTTTTAAAAAATCAATCGCATTTCCAATGTATGCTTTCTCTCTCTACCTCTTGAGGGTCCTATATTCCTACTTTAACATACAATAATCTTTTCAATGACCCACATTATTTTTATGTTTACCCATCCTTAAATGAGGCATGAGCTCTCCAAGTCTGGAATGTGTTTTTGCAAACACAATGAACTGGTTTTTTTCCTTCTATCCCTCCATTTTCATTTGTACATGATAGAATCTCTTTCTTTAGTTCTTAATTTTTAAAAGTTAGATGCCAGTTGCTTTGGAAAGTATAAGGCCCGAGTCACAAGTAATTTCAGCAAGAAAATATAATACCATCAAAGTGTTATTTCTAAATAATAAAATAAACATTTTTTAAAGTGCTATTTCTGCTTCGTTATGGCCTGAACCAAAACGGTAAAGGTACGCTACCTCTGTCCCTACTAACACAGCAGGGAAAATCCTTTATCATTAGTGGCCCTCCCTGCAATCCGTACACTCATTCCCAGACCTCCAGGATGTGTCTGTCACACCAGGGAAGAAGCAAGCCACATCACATCCGGAGAAACCACATACCTGGGACACCATTGACAGCCCTGGGTTTGGAGGCCGCCCCACCCCAAACCCACCCAGTCCAGCTGCCATCGGGCTCTCCCTGCTTCTCTCCCAGTTCCGCTTAGCTTCTGCCGTCTGTCCGAGGTGCCCTGAGCTCCCTTGAGCTCCTCGCCCATGCTCTTTGTTGCCTAGGGGGCCCCAGGCCCTCCTTCCCTCACCCCCTCATATCCACCTTCCCCAAACACTTGATCTTGGGAATCAGGATCTTTTCTCTGTAATGAACAGAAGGCCACTTTTGGGGGAGACTTGTGGTGGGCTGAGCGGGTTGTCATACGCATGCCACCCTGGCTAACCCCTCCTGTGGCCTTTGACCTTTCACCCTGGATGCAGAAACACCACGTTTTCCTCAAATATTCACAGCTCCTTTAAAAATATGTCCTAAGACTTCCCTTTCTGTTGTCTTCCTTAAGGAATAAACAATTATTCTGATATTCAGGTATATTGGTTGAAACTGTTTTTAAAGTTTATTTTGTTATCTTATAAAGTGCAAAATTCTTACCAGGAATCAAGTTACTGAAGTACCATCCACACAAAAAATAAAGGCTTGAATCAAACAGAATCATCCAGCAAACCCAGCCAAATGTCATGCCCCCTTGTTCTGGAGCCTGGTACATATTATTCCACTGAATCCCTGGCAGGAAGAAAAAGGTCAGAGTTAGAACTGTGCATCCTCTTTTACTGCAGATTTTGGTGAGATGAATTCATTAACTCTAGAAGCTCCAGTAAAGCTGAATACAGATAAAACAAAAGGAAGGTCAATACCATTGGCCACAACTCTCCAAAGGAAACATTAACTTGTATAATCTTATATCTATTTCAATGATATCAGGTGGAATGACCATTAATGACATTCAAATATCTAACATTCGAACATTTTTAAAGATCACTTTACTTATATCTAGTTTTATTTACCCAACTAAAAAAGACTTCATATTTTGGAAAAATAAGCATATTTTTTTAAAAAGATAAAGAAGGCTCCTTGAGAACCCAAACTCTGAATTATATAACTCTCTCTACTTTTAGAAAATATCTAAATAGTATATATAAGGTCTAGGGTGAGAAAGAATCATTATTTTCTGACAATATGTTTGTGCTTTATTGCTGGATTAAAATATAATTTAAGAAAAATATCCCCTTTTCTAAATTTCCCTAGTGCTAGGCTCAAGCTCATTAAATTACATGTTTTAATCATCGAGTACTTGTTGGAATTTGGAGTAAAATATTCAAATGGTCTAACACTGTCCATTTTTCTTTTTTATCTTCTTGATCCAATTTATTTTAGAGATTGGGTTGAGGAATACAAAAGAAATCATTCAGGATTACTCATCTGGTAAAGGACATTTAAATATGTTCTACAGAAAAAGTCTAAGAACTCTAAGACCAGTGCAAATTAACGGGTTAACACAACAATAGCTGGAGCTGAGTTTGACTTATGGCATATGTTTTTCCTGTGTTTACAAAACACATCCCAAAAACCATATAAACATGTAAGAAATACATGTCTGTTCTAGTTTAGGATTTTAGTTGTCAAAATCTCAATATAAGTGAAAAATGCTGCCAACAATTTTTTAAATCATTTTAAGCCGTATCATGGAAAAATGGAGGGGATCATTGTGCTCTAGTCTGTGTTGGTTAGACCTATTTCTGGATCCTGACATTCAGGAAGGCTCTAGAAGATATAGGGGCAAAGATGAGAGCCGACAAATATGTGGACAGTTGTCATGTGAAAGAGGGAATTAGGAAGAAGGAACTAAAAAACTGGGACCCGGGAAGATGGATCCAAGTTCAATAATAGTGTAACACTGTAGTCCCAAACTCCCAGGCCGCAGACCAGTACCGGTACACAGCCTGTTAGGAACAGGGCCACATCACTGTCTGAGCTCTGTCTCCCCACCCGCAACGCTGTCCATGAAAAAATTGTCTTCCATGAAACTTAGGAACCAGGCTGTACAGTAGGAGGTGAGCAGCAGGTGAGTAAGCAAAGCTTCACCTGTATTTACAGCCGCTCCCCATCACTCGCATCACCCCCTGAGCTCCGCCTTCCTCCTACCCTGTCCATGGTAAAATTGTCCTTTATTAAAGCAGTCCCTGGTGCCAAAAAGGTTGGGGACCACTGGTCTAACAGATGGTTGTGTATGGACTCCTTATTCTTGGAAGAATTCTGCAGGTCCTGAAGTTGACCTCATGCCAGGGGTGTTATAAAGAAGACCCAATCATTGGCTGGGTGGCTGACCTGGAAAGCATCTGAAGCAAAGGATGCCATGATCACTCTTGGTTGTTCTCAAACCTGGGGAAGCTAGATGGTGGGAGGTGTTTGCATCAGCAAAACCAAATATCCATAGCTCATTCCAAATCTTCCACTTGGTAATGAAGACTTTCTACTGTATTGCTTGCAACATAAATATAAATTTCCCAAAACGTGAGTCACTCAGAGTCACTTTTTATAAATGTATTCTCTTACCTGCCTCTTGTCCTTCCAAGAATGTAATGAAAAATACTCCTTGTCCAAAGGCAGTTGTTGAGAGGAAACACTACCCACAGATTGATGGAGTGAGGAGAAAAACAGCACATTAGTGTTAGACTGGAACCGCAGAAAACCCGCAACACTAAATTCACAGAGAAGCTGCGACACCTTTTGATGCTGATGTCAAACCATTGCTTCAGGCAGTGATTTAAATATTTGAACCTGAAAGACTGAGCAGAATGTCAGCCCACTCTGAAAAGCATGATAACAAGCTAGTTTTTAACGTTAAAGGGAATTATTTCTCTTTACTACAAGGTTTGAAGTGTCATAAATCCAATGCACTGTATATAGAAATGTGTAACACAAAACAGTGGAAAATGGAATACAGCAATTTACTGTTTTTTATTATTAAGCGAATGCCCTGGAGCACACTGCAGGCAGACTGGTGGAATGTATACGCTATTCTACACCAGAAAGACAGTGCATTGAGAAAAAATGTTATTCTATCTCCAGTAGAGAGGTCCTATGCCAGGAAGAAAAAAGCCCATTGAAAAAGTATCTTATATTTAAAATTACAATGTACCAGAGTTAGATTTTTTTCTTTGCTAGAAAACATTTGAATATGCAAAAAGAATATCAAATTTTATATGCATAGAACCCTTAAATATAAGGACTGAAGTAAAAACAAAAACAACAACATTTAATAATCAGGCCAGATCACAGATGATTCCTTTCCTACGTGTAAAGAGTGTGTGAGGGAGGGACACCCAATGGTCCCACTTGGGTTAATTATTCTAAAAATGCCTAATTAACACTCACACAAAATGATTGGTTCTCAGTTATTACAGGTGTTACATAAGCTAATTAAAACTGATGAACACATATCAATGGACAAAATACTGATGGAATTTACTTGCTTTTTCATTATGCATAAGTATCACCATATACACGCAACATAGATATGGTTTATTGAAGAAAAATCATTTGGCTTCCACAGAAATATTTTACTCTAAGGCTTTAAATAAGCAGAAAAGGTGACCCGTTCCCAGTGAGTGGGTGATAACACTGTGGCTGTCATGAGATCTGTGCTGGACGAACTGGCTTTTAAAGGCCTTTAAATATCCCTCGGCAGCCTTGTGACGCTAAGTCTCCCTGACCCCGCCCCAAGGTCTCCCTTAGTAATTTCAGCCCTAAGTCCCAACAGACTGATACTCGGGGAAGTTACCTGACCTGCTGACCAAAGTAGTCTTGAGTGTAATGCAAATGTTTATAGCTATGCCACCGGCTCTGTGAAAGGGGCCATTTTCATAGTGAGTTGTTCATCCCTCCTTCAATGACTGAGTTTCCACTATGTGTCAGGCACGTGCTTGCCAGGAAATAGTCATAAAAGAATGAATACATTTCTATCTTCTGCATATTTTATGTAATGGACCCAAAAGTATTGTCATACATTTTCAGGAGGTACATTTTAAATGGATGAGCAACTCCGACATTGCTAAGGAAGAGATTTTTCCACTTAATGTGATGTAATTCATGGTGCTTCAAGAAAAATGCTTATTTTTTACTTCAAAAATAGCTTTAGAAATCTATTTCTTGCCATGCATGAAACAAAGAGAAACTAAAGTTATATGCTTCCTTAAGGTTGCTGCTGATTTCCCAGAGTCTGCAAAGAGTCCCCATTCCATAAAAAATGGCAATTCTCAATGCACTGCCATCCAGCAAAACCACTGTAATTTCAGTGAACTACAGCTGCAAGGTTCGCATCCGTGGGTAGGATAAAGACAGTAGAGATCGGAAAGCCCATGGAGCTCTGAACGTGATAAATTAAAAAGTTGAGGGTAGTGGTTCTGATTTGTTGGAGGTGTGGCAGTTTTATTTTATTTTGCCTTTTTAGAAAACAACTCACTTACCAGAAATGTCTGAACGACAAAACTCAGTTGGTTATGTAGGACCAACAGAACTATGTAGGGCAGAAAGCTGATCATGTACGCCAGGCTGGTACAAAGGGCTGCTGTGTTGGCTTGGCTGAAAAATGCACTCAAGAAGTAACTCAGCATGACAATCGACACCCCAAAATCCAAGAGAAAGAGGAAGATAATAAAGGCGTTGCTATGCGCAAAGATGCCACTTATTTTCAGAATGGTGGCCAGAGCGGCACTGCTTATGGTCAGCACAGCCATGTTCTCCAGAAACCAGGCCAGGAAATTGATCGCTGGGTGCACGCCCATCATCTGCATGTACTGTCAAGAGAGAAAACCCGGAGTCACCACAGCAGCGGATACTTCAGGAAGAACAGGTCAGGTGGGGGGAGAGAGAGAGGTAAAGGAGCATTGCTTGTAAAGTCAGCCCTGCATAGGGCGGTGGAAAGGACATGGCCCTCTAGAGCTCTGCATTTGATTCCCATGGGCACCTTAGGTCGTTCACCACTTTTGGGGAGAGAGGACTGAGACTAGGAGATGTTAAAATCATCTCACTGGCAAGAACACACAGCAGGAATCAGTAGGAGCACGTATCTTAGACCTCGGGCTTGGTCAACTGCAGTCTCATTGTGTTTTCACGTTTATTTGGAGTTCATTGTTTCTGTTTTAATTTTTGTTTTTTGATTTTCAATTTGTCTGTGTTGGGTTTTTTCTTTTTTTTAATAAAGACAGAAAAACAAATCAGAAATACTGGTCCTTGAGCTCTTCAGTTTGGAGAGCCATTGCATGCCTCTGAAGATGCGCTTTGCAGAATAACCCTGTTCAAAGTAATAAAATAAAATTAATTCATTCACTAAACCTACCATTTGCTCATCTATCACACCATGATATCCTTGAGTATGAGGCTGATTATTGTGATTTGAGGACAGTTGGTTCTGAAGCGTGCAGCCTGGGTTACCCCTGGTCAGTTATAGCCCAACAAGCCCAACATTCACCAGATACCTGTGCTGAGGGGCTAACCTGAGTCCGGGAAGAAACGCGTAAGTCTATAAGTAAACGGGTTGTAAATAGGTAAATAACATACAGAACAGTAATGCAAGTTCTATGCAGTGCTTGCAAAATTAAATCACAAGCACATTTTATTTTACCACACTGTTTCTTCACTTTAATAAATATAAAATAAGTAAACAGTGCACATCCATTGCCCATGGCTTCACCTTTCTACAGGAATAGACGGGGAGTCAGGTCTTTACCAGATACTTTTACAAACTTTCATTCTTAAAAGCATGTCTGATACTTTCAAGTTTTAACAATATTAGGACAAAAATACCAAGGCTTTACATGAAAAATTCTTTTATTTTCCCATTTTTTTAATTTCAAAATATTAAGAGGGTACAAGTGTTTTTGTTTCATGGATACCTTATATAATGCTTAAGTCAGGGCTTTTAATGTGCCCATCACCAGAATAGTGTTCATTATACCCCACAGGTAAGTTTTTACTCCTCATCCCCTCTCATCTTCCTTCTTGGTTTCCAATGTCCTTTCCATCTCTCTGTGCCCATGAGTGCCCATCATTTAGCTCCCAATTACGAGACAGAACATGTGGTGTTTGTCCACTCCTGAGATACTTCACTTAGGATAATGATCTCCAGTTCCATCCAAGTTGCTGTGAAAGACATTATTTCATTTCTTTTTATGGCTGAGTAGTACTCCATGGTGTATATATGCCACATTTTCTTTATCCACTCATGAATTGATGGGCACTTACCTTGATTCCACATATTTGCAATTGTGCTGCAATACACATTGGAGTGCAGGTGTCTTTTTGATAAAATGATTTCTTTTTCTTTGGGTAGATACCCAGTAGTGGGATTGCTGGATAGGATGGTAAGTCTGCATTTTTTTCTGTAAGGAATCTCCATACTGTTTTCCATAGAGGTTGTACTAACTTGCAGTCCCACCAACAATGCATAAGCTCTCCTTTCTCTCTGCATCCATGCCAGCATCTATTGTTTTCTGACTTTTTAATAATGACCATTCTGACAGGGATAAGGTGGTATCTCATTGTGGTTTTATTAATAATTTGCATTTCCCCAATAATTAGTGATGTTGACTATTTTTTCATATTATTTTAAGCCATTTGTCTATCTTCTTTTGAAAAATTTCTGTTCATGTCTTTTGTCCACTTTTTAATGGGGTTGTTTGTTTTTTTCATGCTGCTTTGTTTGAGTTTTGGGTAGATTCTGGACATCAGCCCTTTTATCAGATGTATAGATTGTGAATATTTTCTTCCATTCTATAGGTTGTCTATTAATTCTGTTGATTGTTACTTTTGCTATGCAGAAGTTTTTTAATTTAATCAAGTCCCATTTATTTATTTTATTGTTGCTGTTGTTGTTGTATTTGCCTTTGGAGCTTTCGTCATAAATTCTTTGCCTAAGCCAATATCTAGAAGAGATTTTCCTACATTTTCTTCTAGAATTTTTATGGTTTCATTCCTTACATTTAAGTCTCCTTAAACCTCTTTGCTTAAATATATTCCCAGGTATTTTATTTTCTTTGCAGCTATTGTAAATTGTATTGAGTCTTTATTTGATACTTACCTTAACTATAATATTATTAGTACATAGAAATGCTACTGATTTTTGTACAGTGATGTCGTATCCTGAGACTTTGCTGACTTTATTTATCAATTCCAGGAGACTCTTGGTGGAGTCTTTGTGGTTTTCTAAATTTAAGATAATATGGTCAGCAAACAGGGATAGTTTGACCTTTTCTTTCCCAATATGGATACCCTTTGTTTCTTTCTCTTGATTGATTGCTCTGGCTAGGACTTTCAGTACTATGCTGAATAGAAGTGGTGACAGTGGGCACCCTTGTCTTGTTGCAGTTCTTAGGGAGAATGCTTTCGACTTTTCCCCACTCAGTGTGATGTTGGCTGTGGGTTTGTCATACATGGCTTTTATAATTCTGAGATATGTTCCTTCTGTGCCTACTTTGTTGAGGATATTTATCATAAAAGGGTACTGCATTATATTGAATACCTTTTCTGCATCTATTGAGATAATCATATGGTCTTTGTTTTTGCTTCTGTTTATGTAGTGGATCACATTTATTGACTTGCATATGTTAAATCATCCTTTCTTCCTTAGGATGAAACCCACTTGATCATGGTGAATTATCTTTTTAATAGGTTGTTGAATTCAGTTTGTTAGTATTTTGTTGAGGATCTTTGCATCTATGTTCATAAGGAATATAGGTCTGTAGTTTTCCTTTTTGTTATTTCCTTTTCCACTTTTGGTATCAAGGTGATACTGGCTTCATAGAATGAGGAGGATTCCCTTCTTCTCAATGTTATGAAGTAATTTCTGTAGGATAGGTATGAGTTCTTCTTTGTAGGTCTTGTAGAATTTGGCTATCAATCTTTCTAGTCCAGGGCCTTTTGCTGGGAGATTTTTTTACTAATGCTTTAGTCTTGCTGCTTATTATTGGTGTGTTCAGGATTTCTAGTTCTTCCTAATTGAATCCTAGAAGGTTGTATATTTCCAGGAATTTATCTATTTGCTTTACATATTCCAGTTTTTACGTGTAGAGGTTTTCACAGTATTCACAGGTGATATTTTATATTTCTGTAGTATCAGTTGTAATGTCTCCTTTTTCATTTCTGATTGAGGTTATTTGAATCCTTTCTATTTTCTTTCTGTTTAATCTGGCTAGTGGCCTATCAATTTTGTCTATGTATTCAATGAGCTAACTTTCTTTTGGTTGATCCTTTCTTTTTTGGTTTCCATTTTGTTTAGTTTTGCTCTAAGCTTTGTTATTTATTTTCTTCTGCTGGCTTTGGGTTTGGTTTCCTCTTCTTTTTCAAATTCCTTGAGATGTGCCGTTAAGTTTTAATTTGTGATCTTTCTGTCTTATTGATGTAGGCATTTAAGGCTATGAACTTTCTGCTTAGGACTGCCTTTGTCATATCCCATAGATTTTGAAAGCTGTGTCTCATTTGTATTTTATTCAAGGAAAATTTTGATTTTATTTTAATGTTACCATTGACCCAAGGATCATTTAGCAGCAGTTTGCCTAATTTCCGTGACTTTGTGAAGATTTGAGTGTTTCTCTTGGAATTGATTTCTAGTTTTATTCCACTGTGGTCTGAGAAGGTACATGGTATTATTTTGATTTTCTTAAATTTGCTGAGACTTGTTTTGTGGCCTAAGATATGATCAATCTTGGAAAATGTCCCATGTGCTGATGAGAAGAATGTATATTCCATAGGTTTTAGGTAGAATGTTCTGTAAATATCTGTTAGGTCCACTTGTTCTAAAGTCCCATTTAAGTCCAGTGGTTCTTTATTGATTTTCTGCTTTGATGATCTGTTCAGTTCTGCCAGTGGTGTGTTGATGATCCCAGTAATCATGATGCAACTGTTTATTTCTTTGCTTAGATCTAGTATAGTTTGCTTTATGAATCTGGGAGCTCCTAAGTTAGGTGCATCTATATTTATAATTGTTATGTCTTCTTGTTGAATTGATCCTTTTACCATTACATAATGACTATCCTTGTCTTTTTTCTTTTTACCATTGTTACTTTAAAGTCTATTTTATCTCTTATGAGAATTACTACACCTGCTCACTTTTGGTTTCCATTTGCATGGAATATTTTTCCCTCCTTTTACCTTGAGTCTGCATAGCCCTTGTGAGTTAAATGTATTTCTTGAGGCAGCATATAATTGGAATGTGTTTATTCATCCATTCAGCTAGTCTATGTCATTTAAGTATGGCATTCAGACTGTTCACATTCAGTATTCGTATTGATATGTGGGTTACTGTTCTGTTTATCATGTTGGATGATACCTTGTGGTTTTGTTTTCTGTTTTGCGCTATTGTTTTATTAGAGCTGTGAGCTTTAACTTTTGGGTGTTTTTACACTGGTGGATATCTATTGTGCTGTTCCAAGTATAATACAGTTCTAAGTATTTCCTGTAGGGCAGAGATCTAGTAGTAACAAATTCCCTTAGTGTTTGTTTATCTGGAAAGTACTTTATTTCTCCATCATTTAAGAAGCTTAGTTCCTTAAAATTCTTGGGTGGCAGTTGATCTGTTTAAGAAGACTAAAAATGTGTCCCCAATCCCTTCTGGCTTATAATTGTCTCCACTAAAAAGTCTGCCATTAGCTGATGGGTTTTCCTTTGTAGGTTAGTTGTGACTTTCATCTTGCATGCTGTAGAATTTTCTCCTTCATTGTAACTTTGGCTAAGTTAATGACTATGTGTCTTGGAGGTGACCTATTTTCTATAAATCTTCCTGGTTTTTGATGACCATCTTGTATCTGGATATCTGAATCTCCAATGATACCAGGGAAATTTTCATTAATAATTTCTCAGATAAGTTTTCCATGCTTTTCGCTTTTCATCTTCTCCCTCAGGGATATCAATAATTCTTATATTGGCCCACTTTGAATAGTCCCATACTTCTCTGAGTAATTGTTCATTCTTCTTTATTGTTTATTCTACAGTATTGTTTGACTGACTGGGTTAGTTACAAAGCCCTGCCATCAAGCTCTGAAATTTCTTCTGCTTGATCTAGCCTATTGTTGAAGCTTTCTGCTATATTTCAAAATTCCCTAAATGACTCTTTCATTTCTATATGTTCTATCTTTTCTTATGTTTTCTATCTCTTTAGTGAGATTTTCATTTTTTTAATTCATGTCCTAAAAAAATTTTTTGTCTTCTTTGTGTTGGTTTTCAACTTTCTCTTCAATCCCATTCATCTTACTTGCCATCCACATTCTGAATTCCATCTCTTATATTTTGACAATTTTTTTTAGCTTGGGGTCCATTGCTGAAGACCTTTTGTGATTCTTTGGGGCTGTCAAAACAGCTTATTTTTTCATGTTGCCAGAGTTCTTATTCTGGTTCCTTCTCACCTGAAACCTCTTCTCTCAGCTCAAGACAGATAAGCTTACAGTGCACCTGTTCTCCTCTGCCAGATACTCTCTGACTTAGTGCAAAGAAGGCAAGGTCCCTGGGTGGTTCACATGTGTTCTACTCTGGAAGGCCAATCCAGCATGAGATGGGCAGAACTGTGAGCATTTAACATTGTTTCTCTCCTGCCTCACCCTTCCCCTGTGGTTGTCACTGGAGGTCCCCCTGGGCATTGCAGAGTGAATGAATGCCCCACCTAGTTCTGTCAGCAGTGATGATTATCAGCCTGGGCCAGCTTGAGAGCTGCTCCACTCAGATCCATGTGTGGTGGCATTTGTTGCCCTGTGTGACTTGAGTATAGACCTATTTGTGCCCTCCAGTGGTGGTGCTTCATGGCCTATGCCAACTTGAGGGCTGCCCCACTCAGATCTGCAGACAGCAGCATTTGTTGGCCAGTTTCTGACTTAAGCACAGCCTTTCCCATGACTGCAGGTAATGCTGATTGTCAGCTTGCACTGGCTTGAGAGCCCTCCGGGTTAGATCTGCAGGTGGTGGCATTTCTTGGCTGGGCTCCAGCTTGAGCATATCCCTGCCCACATTGACAGGGTGCAGTGATTGTCCAGGACCCCAGTGACAGTGGGGGCATGTAGCTCCTGCCCACAAGACTCATGAGAGTGCCTGGCTTCCCCACTCCCTCCCTCCACCAGACTAGCAAGGGTAATAGGGAGGCAGCAACAATGGATCTGGCTCCAGCATAGAGGCAGTGCTCTGGGTCTAGGATTTTAAAATGGCGCCAGCCTCAATGCCCAGGGTTTGTGAGCCAGTGGGTCACCACTGTGGCATCTTTCCAGAGCCATGCTGCTGTGCAGTCTCCAGATAGCACCCTATGTCAGTCCTGTGGTTTTCCGCAGGAGAGGGTCCCTCCTATAGCTTGGATAGGAATGATCGTCGGGGGAGTGTGGAGCCCCAGGATTCTCCCCTCTGTGCCTTCCCCACATGTGTGCCCATTTTCCCTGTACACATCCAAAACGCAGAGCAGGTCACCCCTCTTCCTTCTCCTTCACTTTGGGTGTCTCCTGTCTCCTCTCTTTAGATTCACAATACTCTCTCTTAGATGATTGATCCGAAGGTGGATATCCATTCACCACCTTCAGTCCTCTCCGTAAGAGTGGCATGTGTAGGCTGCTTCCAGTCCACCATCTTGGCCCCCTCCCTCTACATAGAGAATTCTAACCGTAAATTAAGATGGAAAATCTGCCCTTAGGTTTTTCTGGGTTTTATAAAAATTGCTGAATGGGCAACATTGGCTTTGTTCTTTCAATCTCATGTCATTATTCTTTGGTTCTATTTCATCTCAATAGAAAATATCTGTTAAACTCTGGCAGTACTTCAGACTTTAACATAAAATTATTTTCCTGGGCCAGGGACTCCATTGGACTGTACACAGGAACCCCAACAGAGGAGAGGGAGGGCACAACAGAGAGGCTCAGGTCAGTTATGGAACAAGATCCATTTCCAAAGACCCCAGCCTGCCCCTCCTTGTCTGCCAAACAGGGTATAAGTCTATTTACCTCTTCTATCTGGATCTCCCGCTCATAAACCAGCTTTCGGACCATACTGGCTACAGACACCATCCAAGTCAGCATCATTATCAGTGGAAAAAAGAAACCAATGTTGTTCAGGAATCTGTAAGGGCAGAATTTAGTCAGCATTCAAGGGCAAGCAAAATGAATCTACTAATAGCCATGCACACGATAAGTCCTGCACCTGCACATGCTTTTTTACATTTTTCTTATGAGTTAGAAAGCACTTTTAGGAGTGACATCTCCTTTAGCTATTTCTACAGGCCTGTGACTTAGGCAGGAGAGTTGTGATTGGTGTGTTGATTCTGTGGGTGTATGAACTCACACAGGAACCCACGAAGTAGACACAACTGGTTCAAGGTACCTCAGGTAGCCATAGCCCAACCTTAATCCTCTCTGACATCTGCCATAGGCAAAGCAGGTGAGAGGAAGGAAACAGGTCATTAGTCCATGACTATAATTTTCCCCACTTAATCAGGGTCATTATGCATCTTCAATTATTAATATCAATTGCTTCTTTTCTATTTCACCAACCCTCACATTTTAACCCACTCTATCTCAGCTCCATTTCTAATACACACTTGGAATTACTGTTATCTAGGGCATCAATGACAGTCATGTCTCTAAATACAGTGGGAATTTTTCAGTCGCTCTCCTTCTTGACTTCTCAGCCATGTTTGATGTCATTGTCCATTCCCTCCTCATTTCTCTTCCCTTACCTTCCAGAACAACTCCTGACTGTATGCCCACTGCTTGGCAACTTCTCATTCACCCGCCTTGAAATATGAGCATTTTCACCCTAACCTGGACCCTCTGTCTTCTCACTTCATACTCTCTGAGCATTAAATCCATATATTAATTATTTTATTCACCAACCAAATGTGCAAGCATGTTATTGGGCTTGTGATATGTGGATGAGTCAAACAGAAAAACGTCTTACCATTAAAGGATCGTCCATTCTAGTGGCGGGGGGGGGGGCGCATAAACAAACCAATAAGCAAAGAGATTGCTATGTCCCCACTGAAACTCATGGTGAATTTTAATTGCCAGTGTAATAGTATTGAGAGGTAGTAGGGACTTTAAGAGGTGTTTGGGTCATGGGGCTCCAGCCTCATGAATGACTTAATGCAGTTCTCTTGAGACTGGGTTAGTTCCCAAGGCACCAGGTCAATTCTTGTGAGATCTGGTTGTCATAACGTCAGTCTGCTCTTGTATTTGGTCTCTTTGTGTACACCTGCTTCCCTTTCCACTTTCCACCATGAGTTGAAACAGCACGAGGCCCTCCCAGAAGCCAACTAGATACGCTGCCCGATCTTGGACTTTCTAGCCACTAGAATCATGGGCCAAATAAACTTCTTTTCTTTTTAAATTACCCATTCTTGGATATTCTGTTATAGCAACACAAAAAGTACTAAGACAGAGACATATAATGTCAAGTAGTGCTAAGTGCCATAAGGACAAAAGAACCATCTTGAGCAACAGTGAGAAGGGATGCTATTTCAGACAGGACGGTTAGCTGATCTGACTGTGGAAGAAAAATCCAAGCAGAGAGCAGATAAAGTAAGGAAATGAGTCATAAGGGTATCTGAAGGAAGACTGCTCCAGGCAAAAGAGCAGCAAGTGCAAGGGCCGGAGGTGGAAGCATGCTGTCTACTTCAGGAGTGGGCAAGGCCTTTGTGGGTTAGCAGAACATGGAGTCGGAGCATAGCTGGGGCCAGAACACGCAAGGGTTTTGCATGTCAGGGTGAGTTCTAATTCTTAGTCAATGGACAAGAAGATACATTGTAAAGATTTTTAGAGGGGGAAAGGAATAGAGAAAGGTGGCATAATCAGGTGTATATATTTTTTAAAGACCACTGAATGCATGTAGACAATGCCTCCCCACTGTGCTTTCTCTCCCTGTCAAAGGCCTGCCTCATAGTAGAAGTCAAATATTTGTCAATGAGTACATGAATGTATAAAAAAGAAAAGAAAATTAATCTCTTTGTTTTCACGCACTTCTCTGCTTAAGACAACTGTTATGAGCTGTCAACTTGGTGAATCATGTTTTAAAGTTAAAAATGGTTAACTTGTATGTTAACCATATGTTATACAGTGACTGTTTGCAGAGGGCAGAGTGTTTTAAATTTTCAGTTTTGTGACTTTCTGGGTTTTTTTTTTTTTTTAATCACTTTATTTTTTTGTAGTTCTCAGAACAGGTAGAAATCTATGAAATGGTAGTGCCATAAACTCTGTCAACTTGTATATCCAGCAAATGCCATCTGTTCTCCTAGAGTAACACAATTTACCACAGAGATGAAGCATAGATCAGCTGTAAAGTTAAAAGAAATTAATGCTGAGTTTATTTGGGGGGTCAAAAGTTTGTCTATTTGTTTGTGAATTTCCCCTTTTTTACTTAATGGCAATGGAATTGATGGCTATTAAATATTCTTGCAGTAACTGAATCTTACAAAAGAGCCAGTAAGTATCATGCACAAATATTACATAAGTTTGCACTCTAGGCTATCACCTCCTAAGTCATGTTGGGTCAAAATTCTGTAATACTTGTGTGTCCTGTGGATCTCTTGAAGAAAGCTTTTACCTTTACAAAGGAGAGAGTCATGAGAGGCTTGGAATTGGATCAACCCAGCTCTGATATTCTTGGAACAACTCTCTCAGATCCAAAAGAATATTCAGGCACTTTGCACAAACATGTTTTACTGATAAACTGGTGGAAATTTAATACAATAAGAAATCGGAGATGAGAGATTACAAGACAAGGCTATGTAACTCAGTCTTTTTCTTATCTGCTCCTGGAAAGTAGTTCAAAATCAACAAGAGAAGAAAAAATATATACTTTCCAATTTTGATAAATATTTGAAAGAGACATCCAAGTATTTGAAAAGGCTACCAAAAAAAATCAAGTTCATGTGGGAGTCACACAAAACTGTAAAAAGGAGAGATGTCAGTAATAAAACCCCACCCTCCACAGATCTCAGAATGCACCATCAAAAATAAACTTCTTACAGGCAAGCAGCGTACTCTGAGGGGCAAAATATGTACAACAGCATGTGTCAAGTGGGCGTCAAGCTGGTGTTAAATTGGATAGTGTGATACTGCTTCCATCCCCTTACTCGTTATTGGTGTGCTCAGGCTTTCTATAATAATTCTTCACGGTTCAATCTTGGTAAGTTGTATGCGTCCAAAAATTTATCCATTTCTTCGATGTTTTCCAATTTGTCAAAACATAGTTGTTTATAATAGTCTCTAATGATCCTTTGTATTTCTGTGGCATCAGTTATAATGTGTCTTTTTTTGCTTCTGATTTTATTTGTTTGGGTCTTCTCTCTTTTTTTCTTAGTCTAGCTAAAGGTTTGCCAATTGTGTTTACTTTTTCAAAAAGCAACTTTTTGTTTTGTTGACTTTTTTATTATTTTTAGTCTCAATTTCATTTATTTTTGCTTTAATAAGAAGTTGCCCATCAAAGAATAGCCCAAGACCTGATGGCTTCATTGCTAAATTCTACAAAACATTTAAAGAAGAACTAATACCAATTCTACTCTAATGATTCCAAAAAATTGAAGAGGAGAAAATACTTCCAAACTCATTCTATGAGGCCAGCAATAGTCTTATGCCAAAACCAGACATGGATATAACAACAACAACAAAAAAACTACAGGCCAATATCCCTGATGAAAATAAATGCAAAAATCCTCAAAAAAATACTAACAAACCAAATTCAACAATACATTAAAAAGATTATTCACCATCATCAAATGAAATTTATCTTAGAGATGCAAGTATAGTTCAACATATGCAAATTAATAAACATGATGCAACATATTAATAAAATCAAGAACAAAAACCATATGATTATTTCAATAGATGCTGAAAAGCATCTATTTGTTAAAATTCAACATTCTTTCACAATGAAAACTCTCAATAAACGGGGTATAGAAGAAACATACCTCAAAGCAAAAAAGGCCATATATGACAAACTCATAGCTAATGCCATACTGAACAGGGAAAAATTGAAAACCTTTCTTTTAAGATCTGGAACAAGACAAGGATAACTGCTTTTATCACTTTTATTTAACAAGATACTGGAAGTCCTAGCCAGAGCAATATGCCAAGAGAAAGAAATAAAGGGCATCTGAATTAGAAAAGAAGATTCTTTTCTTTGATTTGAAAAAGTCAAATTATCTTTGTTTGCAGGTGACATGATTTTATATTTAGAAAAACCTAAAGACTTCACCAAAAAACTACTAGATACGATAAACAAATTCAGTAATGCTACAGAATACAAAATCAATATACAAAAATCAGTAGCACTTCTATACAACAAACAATCTGAAAAAAAATTCAAGAAAGCAATCCATTTACAATAGCTACAAAGAAATACCAAGAATAAATTTAACCCAAGAAGCGAAACATCCCTACAAAGAAAACTATGAAAAATTGATGAAAGAAATTGAAGAGGACACAAAAAATGAAAAGATACCGCATGCTCAATTAACAAATTTTAACAATTAATATTGTTAAAATGTCCATACTACACAAATTTATCTACAGATTCAAGGCAATTCCTATCAAAATACCAATGACATCATTCACAGAAATAGAAAAAAACAACCCAGAAATTTGTATGAAACCACAAGGACCCAGAATAGCCAAAGCAATTTTGAGCAAAAAGAACAAAGGTGGAGGCGTCACACTATCTAACTTCAAAATATACTACAAAACCATAGTAAACAAACTAGCATGGCACTAGCATAAAAACAGACACATAGGCCAGTGGAACAGAATAGAGAACTGAGATTATAAACTCACACATTTGCAGCCAACTCATTTTCAACATAGGAGTCACAAACATACATTGGAGAAAGGGCTGTCTCTTCAATAAATGATGCTGGAAAAACTGGATAGCTATATGCAGAAGGATGAAACTAGACCCCTGTCTTTCACCACATACAATAATCAATTAAAAATGGATTAAAGACCTGAAGCAATGAAACTACTAGAAGAAAACATTGAGGAAACACCTCAGGACACTGGTCTGAGCAAAGAATTTTTGGGTAAGACCTCAAAAGCACAGGCAACAAAAGCAAAAATGGACAAATGAGA